AAAGAAAAGATTCCCCCTATTGTGATAACCACTACCGATTTCCATGCTCTTCGCATGGAACTTTTGAATTTCGTGAAAGTTAAGTTTTCACTACAAATTGGACGTCGGGGTGAATGCCGTGTATTGGCTGAAACCTTGGACGGATTTAAATGTCTTCTCAAGTATCTTACTGAGAAGAAGCACAAATTTTTTACTTACGACACCAAAACTGAACGTGTGTTCAAGGTTGTCATGAAAGGACTGCCCAGTGGTGAATCCCTGGATCAGATCAAAGATGAACTGGCAAAATTACTTGGAGTTGTGCCACTCCAAGTAATCAAAATGAAAATGAAATCCCGTCCTGGCGATTCGCGCAACGGGATTTCTAATGATTTTTATTTAGTTCACTTCAAGTCTAGTGAACTAAACAACCTTAAGGCCTTAGAAAAAGCTAGCCTTATGCTCCATGTCCGAGTGAAGTGGGAACACTTCAGGAAGACTGGAGGAAATTTCCAAAACCTCACTCAGTGCCGTAAGTGCCAGGGATGGGGTCACGGAACTAAAAATTGCTACATGCCAGCTAAATGCATGAATTGTGGTGATTCCTCTCACGCAAAGGACGACTGTCCTGTGAAGGAGAATCCTAAGAAATTTAAATGTTCAAATTGTGGTGAAAACCACAAATCCAATTTTTGGGAATGTAAGACTCGCAAAGCGATCCTACAATCTCGTTCTAACCGACAGGTAAGAAACGCTTCACGTTTCCGACCAGGTATAAATTCCTCTGCTGGTAACAACGGTCAGCGAGGAACAAATTCTACATTCGTACCCGTAGGTACAAATATCACCCCTGCTTCAAATGTTTCATCTGTACCTACTCCCCTCGCTGCTAACAATGTTCAGCGAGTTAATGGAGCTACCTATGCTGCTATTGCAGCGGGTAGAAATCAAAATACTAACCAACGTTCTAACGGAAGTTTTGACAATTTTGACTTAGGAAGCATTACTGCCCCTAAAATGGAATTTTTACAGAATTCATTAATTGACATGATTTCTGATATGCTTAAATCTAACTCCATGTTTGATGCTATTCAAACTGGAGTAAAATTTGCTAATAATATTGTCATGACTTTAAAATTCAGTAATGGATTTTAAAGCATTAAACATTTTAAATTGGAATGCTCGATCTCTTAAAGATAATGAAGACGAGCTATTTAATTTTTTGAGAGTTCATAACGTGCATATTGCCGTTATAACTGAAACGTTCCTTAAACCTGACCATAAGGTTAAGAAGGACGCAAATTACTTGATTTATAGAAATGATCGTCTTGATGGACCCTGTGGTGGCGTTGCCATCATTATTCATAGACGAATCAAGCATAAAATTCTTTCTTCATTTGAAACCAAAGTTTTTGAAACTTTGGGAGTTTCTGTTGAAACAAAATTTGGACAACTTACGTTTATAGCTGCCTATTTGCCATTCCAATGCGTAGGCCAGCAAAAGAATTTTCTCAAGGGTGACCTCCAGAAACTTACCCGTCATAGGTCTGAATTCTTCAGTATTGGTGATTTTAATGCAAAACACCGCTCATGGAATAATTCTCAAAGCAATTCCAATGGTAATATTCTGTTTGATGATTGTTCTGCAGGTTATTACACAATTCAATATCCAAACAGCCCAACATGCTTTTCTTCTGCAAGAAATCCCTCCACTATTGATTTGGTCTTAACTGATTCATGTCAACTTTGTAGCCAATTGGTTACCCATGCTGACTTCGGTTCTGATCACCTTCCAGTAACTTTTGAAATATCCCAAGAAATAATTTGTAATCCCAACAGCTCTACTTTCAATTACCATAGAGCTGATTGGGAGCAGTATCGAACATTTATGGAATATAACTTCGATCCAAACATTCCTTTGCAAACCAAAGATGAAATTAATTATGCTCTTGAATCTCTGACTACTTCTATAGTTGCAGCAAGAGCTGCCTCAGTACCAAAATGCGAGGTTAAATTCGATTCAATTATAATAGACGATGATCTTCAGCTCTTGATCCGTCTTAAAAATGTCCGTAGGAGACAATTTCAAAGAACACGCGATCCTGCCATGAAAGTTATCTGGCGGGATTTGCAAAAACAAATTAAAAAGCGATTCTCTGCCCTGAGGAACAAAACTTTTGAAAATAATGTTTCTAAATTAGACCCGAGTTCCAAACCCTTTTGGAAACTCACAAAAATTTTGAAAAAACCTCAAAAGCCAATTCCAGCGCTTAAAGAAGGTGGTAAAATTTTGATCACAAATTTGGAAAAAGCTCAGAAACTTGCTAAGCAATTCGAGAGTTCCCATAATTTCAGTTTGGGTCTTACTAGTCCTATTGAGAATCAGGTTGCTCGGGATTTTCGGAATATTTTCTCTCGGGAAAATATTTTTGATGATTCCTGGGGGACTGATTTGGACGAAGTAAGGTCTATAACTAAAAAATTTCAAAATATGAAAGCTCCAGGTGATGATGGAATTTTCTATATCCTCATCAAAAAACTCCCAGAGAGTACCTTGTCTTTCCTGGTAAAATTATTTAACAGATGTTTCCATTTGGCATACTTTCCTGATAAATGGAAAAATGCAAAAGTTGTTCCAATTTTGAAGCCGGATAAAAATCCAGCTGAAGCTTCTAGCTACCGTCCAATAAGTTTGCTTTCTTCAATAAGTAAACTTTTTGAAAAAATAATTTTGAATAGAATGATGCTTCACATCAATACGAACTCAATTTTTGCAGATGAGCAGTTTGGATTTCGCCATGGGCATTCAACTACTCATCAACTCTTGAGAGTTACCAATTTAATTCATTCAAACAAATCTGAAGGCCACACAACTGGAGTTGCTCTTCTAGACATAGAAAAAGCATTCGACAGTGTTTGGCATGAAGGTTTGATTGCTAAATTGAAAAAGTTTAATTTTCCACTTTACATTATGAAATTAGTTCAAAATTATTTAACTGACAGAACTCTGCAGGTAAATTATCAAAATTCCAAATCTAATCGACTACCTGTTAGAGCAGGAGTTCCTCAGGGTAGCATTCTTGGGCCTATATTGTATAACATTTTCACTTCGGACCTCCCTGATTTGCCTCAGGGTTGCCACAAATCTTTGTTCGCTGATGACACAGGCATTTCCGCTAAAGGAAGAAGTCTTCGTGTTATTTGCAGCAGACTTCAGAAAAGTTTAGATATTTTCTCTTCTTATTTACAAAAATGGAAGATTTCTCCCAACGCTTCCAAAACTCAACTTATAATATTTCCACATAAGCCCAGGGCTTCCTTTTTGAAACCTAGTAGTAGTCACATAGTCACTATGAACGGAGTTCCAATTTCCTGGTCAAACCAAGTGAAATATCTTGGATTAATACTTGACCATAAATTAACTTTTAAAGATCACATTGAGGGCATTAAAGCCAAATGTAACAAATATATAAAATGTTTGTATCCTCTTATTAACAGGAAATCCAAGCTTTGCCTGACGAATAAACTTCTAATATTTAAACAAGTTTTTAGACCGGCCATGCTTTACGCTGTGCCAATATGGTCTAGTTGTTGCACTACCAGGAAAAAAGCACTTCAAAGGATTCAGAACAAAATTCTGAAGATGATTTTGAAGTTGCCTCCCTGGTACAGTACTACCGAAGTACATAGAATTTCGAATGTTGAGACTTTAGCACAAATGTCCAACAAAATAATTAATAATTTCCGGCAAAAATCGTTACAATCCTCAATTGCAACGATTAATTCCCTTTATACTTAGATAAGATTAAGTTTTAGTTATTTAGTTTTAAGCTATCAATTGTTATACTGACATGCAGGTTTAAAAAACCTGTTTAAAATACTGAATTGCCAAGACAGGAACAATGTAAAAACACTTAGATATATATCATAACAATTAAGGCTGGTAAGTTACTGTAGTAACTGGAGCACCTAGGTTAAAAATGAAATGTAATTTATTTTGAAGTTGGAACAAATAAAGAGTTAAAAAAAAAAAAAAAAAAAAAAAAAGTGTCCTGGAGTGTTTGGAGCAGAGAAACGACGGTGGTTAATCGAACAGTTTAAAAAAAAATCCGACATTATTCTTAGATGAGGCCAGGGATAGTTTTGAGAAAACTTTCAACTGCTCCATCAGTACGTCCTCTGTTTCCAGAATACTACACGAGCATGGATATACGTGGAAAGTTCTAGAGCGTCGGGCGATCCAGGTTCAAGAATCTCAGATTTGTCATTTCGTCAATGAGCTGGCTGCAATAAACTGGGACCTACATCACCTTATCTTTTTGGACGAAGTATCGATCAACAACAGAGGTATGTTGCGGAATCGAGGCTACGCCAAGGTCGGCGAAAAATTGATTTACAGGGGTGAATTCAACCGCAAAGCCAGAGTATCCTTACTCTGCTTCTTGGGCCAGACAGGAATGAAGAACACGTACTTGACGGAAGGAACTTTCACGAGGGCAAAGTTCTTTGAATGTTGTCGTAGCTTTGCCAACAGTGGAGAAGTTTATCGACACCCTGGAGTTAATTCGGTCTGGATCTTGGATGGGGCTAGAATTCACTGCCATCGACGAATAGTTGAGTACCTCCGGTCATTGGGAATCCATGTTATCTTTTTGCCTCCGTATACACCGTTTTTCAATCCAATCGAGTATATTTTTGGATACTGCAAGAAAAAACTACAACGTGTCTACGTAGAAAATAGCTCTTCGGATCTCACAACAACCATTTATGCGACGGTAAATACATTCACGAACTTTAACTGCACTCGTGTATTCCGCAAATGCGGATATCTGCCAGGTGGGAAATTCAATCCGGCAAACGGACTAAGTCAAAATATCGAATCATTGGGATTTGAGAATGTACGTAATAAGGATTAATAAACAATAAATCAAATAATCAAATGTTGTTCACCTTTTTTATTTCATAAACTCAAAACAAAGAGATGTTCAATAAGCAACAGCTTCAATCAGTTCGTCGTCCCGAATGCGTATGGAATCGTTCGGAATCAGGATCAGCAAATCGTTATTGATGGTCGACATCCAAGCAGTCGGTCACTTCCTCGGCGAGTTTCTGCCCAAAGCTATCTTCAGATACAGCAATACTGCCAGACACATCTGCTAGCAATGAAGTGTTAGTTGCCTGCATCGTTTGCAATGCGGTCAAGCGCAATTGCATCGCCTTAGCATATGTCATAAGCTGGTCCAAATCTGCTTGCAGGCCATCCAACAATTGTTTATACCCTGAATTAACATTTTGGGCAATGCATACATCCTGACGAGTGTGATTCAGCACGTTTTGAGAGCATGAGGGAACCGTCTGGAACAAATGTATCAGATGTTGGGGAGGTCCTCGCAACTTCAATTCCTCTCGTTCAAGCGCGTCTTTGGTCAGTAAGTACGAAGCCCATACAGACCAGTTGATGTCCGATGAAATGTAGGATAGCTTGTAGAGTTCCTTCAACTCAGTGGACAAATTACTGTTTGCCTGGTTGGATGCTGCTCCTGCTCGGTCACGCTCCTCCGGTTTTATCAGCTGCACTCGCAGTGTTTCGTACATAGCGGCTGAGGTCACCGACTCCGAATAAATGTGCACAAACACGTTAATATCTCTGTTCAGAAATTTCTGCATTTTGTCTGGCTTTTCTAGCAACTGTAATGGTTTAAACGTGCGTTTCGAGGCTTTATCTTGGAAGGAGATGAACTTATCCATATTGCCGACTTCTGGGTTCAAATCATCATTCCAGTGCACGGTAAATTGATCAGCATCTCCACCAGCGAGTGATTCAAACACGGCCTCTCTGCGAATGAACTTTTCACAGAAATCCCATACAGTTTGCATTACCTCCTCAGCTGATTCACTTTCACTTCCAGGGCTTCCGGGCGAAGCAGAATCCAGTGTATCCTGGAACGATCGTTTTGCCTGCTGCACATTTGATGGTCCTGCTTCTGCTTCCTCCTCCAGAATTTCTACCTCGTAGTCAACCTCCCGTCCCTCCAGTCCTACAAAAGTTGGAGACATATGCATAATGGCACATCTGAAAAAGAAACACTTATTATGAAATGCATTTCATTTGAATTGATACGAAAAATATTTTACCTGCGATTCAAAGCCGACGTCGAACGGGCAGAGCAGAAATCAAATGAAGCCGCTAGGAAAAATGAGTTGACAGTTTGTTTTGTTTTGTTTGGTAACTGATAGGTTGTTGACTATGTACGATTGCAAGTAATTTTTTTTTGACAGTTTGTTTTGTTTTGTTTGGTAACTGATGGGTTGTTGACTATGTACGATTGCAAGTAATTTTTTTTATTTGTTGATTTGCAACTGTTTTATGTGAAATTATGATTCACTGGCCTGAAATACATATAGGTAATAACGAGTTGAAGCTTTAAGAAGGGTAACGTCAATATTTAAAGACAATTTTTGAAGCAATATAAGATTTCGTTCGAGTCAACTATCAGTCACATACCCTTGCGCACAAAAGTGTGACAGCTGAGCAAATCAAGCTTTTGCTAGAATTTCTCGGGAACTACAATATAATGTAATGTAGGCTGTCTTGCAATGAGCACCCATACATATGATTTCCAGTGAAAACTAGATGTATGAGTGCTCATTGCAAGACAGCGTATATCACGTGATATACGCTTTAATGTGAACGGGGTATAAGAAGCAGACATAATTGATTCGGTTCACAGCAAAAAATTCATGTTAATATCACATCACAGTGGATGCACTTCAATCGTGTCGAAAATATGGTGTAATAGGTTATATGGCTCTAATGTTGGCCTATGGATCAAAGATTGGGCCCATCGCTAAAAATCTGCTTGGGACGATACTTATGAATATTTTTGGACGCTATTTAAAATTTAGACGAATACTGAAATAATGTATGGGCCCAAATTAGGGGCATTTAGGCCGACATACCATCCATTTCCCCTATTACTTGCCAAAAAAGGACAAAATTATCGTTAATACAGTGCATCAACTGATATTACGCTGCTTCTACTTAAAAATACATGAAATTTTTTTTTAATTCACAAAGTCTTTCTCTGCACAAAGTCAAAGAATTTCTCAAGCTGCTCGTTATGACAGGTGTATGATTCCAGTTCCGGGTACGATGCCGCGCTAATACTGGTTACATGCTCCACACGACAACCGTTAGTACAGCTCCTCAATGATAAAAGGTATGCAGGACGATCGAAGCTTCAGATCAAGGTTCAAATAAGTGTAGAACATTTACCTACGACCGTAGCTCCCTCGGATCTGCAATGGAACACCAGCTTCAAGCACTCCAGATAGAGATCGCGCAGATAGTACAGCCAAACTACGTGGCACGCGCTGGTGGTTTGAGAAAATTCGTACTTCTTGAAGCCCTTGTTGGACATGTGGTTACAGTTGGTCATTACGTCGTGCTGCTTCTCGTCGGTAAAGTATATCAGCGAAAACTTAGTCGCGTTCCTCAGATTGTTGTAGAAGAACCGATAGCCCTGAATGTACATAATGTCCAAGTTTATGTCCCATTCCTGGGTGTCGTACGCGCACAGGACAAACCACAGCGCATCCGTTCCACACTCCAGAGTACCGTTTGGGGAGTCTTGCTTCTGGCCGGCCTAGGATTTCTCGATCTTTCTCGGTTCCCGGAATCCTATTTAGGTGCAGGTGCAGGTTCTTCAACGAGATGCCGGTAATCACATCCATCGGATCGAATCCCGATGGGTTTTTTTACTTGTGGTTTCAGAAAGCAAAACAAAACATACAAGCTGTCAAAGTACCGGCATGCCATACATGTAATTATTCACCAACATGCAACGTCACCCCGATGACTGCGATTGCAGGCACAGCACGGCACACTTGAGGCACACTGAGAAAAAAGTTGGCCCAAAATCACTGTGTAGTGTGACCACCCCTTGTTGTGTTGTGATTAATTATGTCAAATATGCCAGAACCTGCGCCAGAACGTATCTCAGAAGAATGTATTTTGACTGGATCTTAATTTTATAGAAATTCTGAGTCTACAATGGAAATGGATGTAATGTCGGCCTAAATGCCCCTAATTTGGGCCCGTACATAAATTCAGCAGTCGACTAAATTTTCAATGGCGACCAAAAATATCCATTAGTATCGTCCCGATGACGCGTTCATCTAGATAAAATTAAATAGATAAATAGCAGATTTTTAGCGGTGGGCCCAATATTAGATCTATAGGCCAACATTAGGGTCATTTCCCCTTATATGTTTTTGTGTCATTGTGAATGAATGACAGCTACGGTTGTTCCTTCTTCCTTCTGAAAATTCAATGAATGCTAATACTTCTGTAAACTGGAAATAATAAACAATTATTATCGTGCTGCAATATGTCAGACTGATTTATTTTCGATTGAATTTCTGTAGGTTGCTTTGATCAAACGAGATTAGTTTTCTATCATAAATTCCTCCTTTATCCTTAATAGGGGAAAATTTCCTCTACCTGATAGTGGTGTTAGAGCCTTAAACGCTGTACAGACTGGAGAGTTATAACATGTTATAACGGTTGTCAAATAATTGCAACACAGAAACCACCATCAAGATAGCGCTATAACATGTTATAACTCTGTAGTCTGAACGTACTATTAGACTGTGGTCCATTTTAAAATGTTCGAAAATCCCTCTCGTGTTGATTGGCCGATTTTCGAGAAGGTGTTTGTCAAAATGGATTGCTTGTCTGTCAAAAATAAGTCTGATGGTACTCTGGTATTTGGGTTATTTGAAAATTTCCGATCTTTAAAATGTTAGTGAAAATTCACCAAATGGAACACAGCAATCCAACATGTCAAGACCAACAACTGAAATGGCCTGAACTCCATTTTGTAAACAAACCTTGTTAGGCCATTTTCTCGCGAACTGAAACCTTCATTCGCAAACCTAAACCACAATCGGGTAGAGGATAATTTTTCCTACCTGTTCATTATGTTGGTTTGCATTTGAGGACTTCGGTTCGCGAGAAAATGTTGTAAGGCCATTTTGTTGGGGTTTGTTTACAAAATGGAGTTAAGGCCATATCAATTGTTGGTCTCGATGTGTTCGATTTTGACTTCTGCTCCAATGTTGGTAAAGTTAACAGGTTGCTTAGAAGTTCCTTTTCATGTTGGTTTCAATCATAGATGACATGTATCCTGATTTTTGAACTTGATAAAAGTTGGGATGGTAAAGCTGTAGTTTTCATGCAAAACAGCTAGACTAAATTTAGAAGTATAGCGAGAAGAGGAATTGAATTCTCTGCAATCTGAATTGAACCTTTGAAAATCATGAATTTTGTGATAGCGCACATATTACTAAAACCACAGACAAACAGACATAACTCTCGCAAGTTATTTATCGAACAAGCATTTAACGGTAAATTTGAAATAAAATTCAAGTACTACACAATGTTTTGATTCGCTATGAAAGTTTGACATATAAAATGAGGGGTTCATGGATGTTCCTATGTTTCGAGGGGTGCATCGATTAGCTTGGGACCGAAGATAGTACCAGAGCTGAGCCAAAAAGTTGGGCACGTTTCTTCGGGACCTACTAGTCTTAGAGTTACCTCTATGGTTGTACCTCGTTCACGCTACAGCCTATATTAAGTGATATGAGCTATCTTGATAACAGAATACATACACGGAGAATCAAAACTACCGAACGGTTAAGTTCTTTAAACTATCTTTTGAGTTGATGCCTCTCACGTGCCCTCTTGTTGTTGTCAAAAACGAAAAGAGCAAAACAACCCAAAATTGAGTTCTATTCTGTGACTATGGCATGACCAGACACTCCCGGGTAACTAGCTCAGTAGCATGAGACCCCTGAACTGTGTCGCAGGGCCGGCATGTTACTGGGTATTCGGAGGGGCTACGCGGACAAAGTATGAAACACAGGAATATTCACATTTTCTAAAACATTTATTTGCCCTTTTCTGTGGCGTGTGGGTGTGGGTTTTCACATATATGTGGCATGTATGCGAGGGTTTAAAATGTAGTACTCACTGCTGCAGCGGGATCTCCTACGGCGTCGCGACGCTGGCGTTGGCCCACACGGCTGCTCCTGCACTACCGTGTGGCCGGAAACTTGCGGCGCGGGCTGCAGACAGTGTTGTTGCAGTGTTGGGAGAATGGCGGATCTGGTGGCGTTCATCAGCCACATACGGCTCAGCAGGCGTTGCTGGCTCGTTTGGCTGGCAGGCGTCTTCCGTCGTTGACGACATCGGCTAGCCGTGGCATGGCCACCTTGGTCGAGCCGAGACGGGACCCTCCTTGGCAATTAAGGCCGCCAGCCTGAGGGAATCGTCCCTGACGGACGATCGAGTATCATTTACTATTAGGCCCGGAAGCCATCTTGACTTCCGAGCCGAGCCGTGTAAGACCGTTTTATTTACGGTACGAAGTGTACATGTTGTACCAAAGCACAAGAACACAAGAGCACAAGAGCACAAGAGGTCCTGAGAATTATCAAATTCTGTCAGGGAAATTTCCGTCAGGATATTAAAAATCAATTACCTGAACGGAAGTAGGCTTTCCAGCCCAAACCCCACAAGTGGGGAGGGGGGGTTGTATTATATATGCACTACACTTCACGATACCGGTCTACACGGACGCCTGATTACTTCTGCCAATTAGAAGGTTATTTCTTTTAGAACATGGCCACTCGCATGCCTTTTGCCGATCATTCTCCATTTTTAGCTTAAGACTACGATTGTCCTCCCTTTAGTATCGTTCGAGTGTTTTTGCAGCGGTACTAACCCTCTCGCTGTTGTGTGTTGCCTTCTGTCGTTGACATTAAAATACGTGAATGTTCCAAACAACAACAACTCATACAAACGAAAATCCACGGATTGTAACCAACTGGTTACAATTCACCCAACTCGACAGCTCCGTGCGCCATTGAAGAAGTTGTGTAAAACTCAATTTTGAGTAGTTTGAACTTGACAACTTAAAAGTAAGTAATCCTGTTTACATACGAGTGAATTACATCAACTCAAAATTGAGTAGGCGCTACACTCAAAAAGCCACACGTCTGATTGAAGTGTTTAAACACTTGATTTTTCATATGCGCAATCACATTTATTTTAAGTGTATTTCACCATGGTTCAATGTGTTCTTCACGTTTATTTCTAGTGTTTGAAACTTTGAAATGTGGATAATCTTTCTCTATGAATTTAAGTTTATTGCACATTGAATCCTACTACTGTTCAAAACAGATGGATGTTTTGCATGTCATGTGATGTGAATTGCTTGTTCTGCAATGTAATCGAAATCATGACTTAAGACTTCATCTTTATCAACCGGCCTCATATATGAGAACAACTGCGGCCCAGTGAGATCGAACGAAGACAACGGCAGCAGTACACCTCAACAGACGACGATTAATTCGCAAATCAGACCCATTAAAAAAGGCATGTGTATTGTTTATATACTTGTCGATTCAATTTTGGAGTCGGTAAAGTAGAAGTCGATAAAGTAGAATATTATACAAAATGGAACTATGATGTGCAAAGCTATTGATATCATAATGTGATGTCTCAATTTGAACCAAAAATATTTAGGCATGGTTTACAGCATAAGATTCACGAATGAAATGGATGTGTTTCACAATAAGTGCTCAATTAAATGTGAGACACATGATGATGTCGTGTGGAATTTTTTGAGAGTAGAACTCTAAATTGAGTTGGCGCACGGAACTGCCAACATGGGTGAAACGAACTCAAAATTAGGTTCTTTTTTCTGTCCGTGTACATCACTGGAAATAATATGTATGACATTTCATATCAAGATACTCTATAGCACGTGATAAAGGCTGTAGTGTGAACGGTTAATACCCCGGCTGACTATAACTAAAAACGAAAAAAAATAAATAAACTGCTCATCGGCGCAAAACAGTCTGCTAACTTTAAAAATCTTTCTCGTTTTTAAAACCACTACACTCGTTTTTCATTCCCGTTGTAAAGCTTCATCTTAGATTAAAACATAAATCATTATTATTCCAACGTTCCATCTCACATTCTTCAGCACAATACACACTATCAAGGCGATGAATCCGTGGCTGAGAAGAGCACCAACTGCAGTTGCACTTAGCTGCAGCCACCGTTCCTACTCCGGCCGACCAAGATGACGACGGCGGGTGTGTTTTCGCGATGAAGTTTTTCAATTATAATTTCCGTTGTTTCTAGGTTGTCCCGACATCGAAACTTTCTGCTAACGAGAACTTTTTCCCAGTTTCTCCGTTGCTTAATACATCTTTCTACGATTGTAAGCTGATCTTACTATGCAAATTTTACTCCCGCTTCCGTGAACTATGTACCTACTTTTCGAATGGATAACGTAGAGCAAGAGCATTAGCAACCAGAAAAAAAATGTTCAGTTGGAATAAATAAGTTAATTATAACTAATTTGAGTCTTTGCGGGAAAAAGTGTTTGAAAACTAAATTGATGGAAACAATGCTCAACTCTAGGTTTGTTTGATTCACTTTGAAATATATACAGAATTCAGACCGAACCGGACCGGGAATCAAACCCAGCCTGGTCTTGTTTTGCAGCTGCGCTTGTACCGATTGAGCTAAGGGAGGTCAAGCAACCATTCCAATGTTGTTTTATAAGCAGCCACAATGAAACTAGTTGGCTATGCAACAACTATTTTAAAACAGTCGGAATTTGAAGAAACCAGCATCACTAAAACCTTTTTTTTCA